GTCCTTAGATATTTTTCCTCCATCAATCCATAAACGTTTTACAATCCAGCTGGCAATTCCGAGAAATAAATTATGCATTGGGTCTACGACGCAATGTCTGATTGGATTGAAGTAGGGTAATCTTAACAATTCTGTCCACCTAACAAGATTATTTGAAACATGCTGATTTCTTTCATCTTTTGTTTTGCAATTACGCCATGCAATAGCATTTTGTCGGAAATCTTCTAAATCCCTTGGTTTAAACCAATCAGTCATATCATCTAAATTACCAAAATTACCATTGTTAGCTCGTTTGTAGCACCGATGACAAGCTGCCAACGCTGATATATGGCCGCATAATTTTCTTGCAGCAGGAATATCGCTACTGCAACAGATAATTGCCATTCGTACTGTTTTGCCAGTTGGATTATTCGGCGTTTTTATAATAACTCCTGTCCAAAATTCGAGTTATTCTTTAACAATTGGCGATAAAAAATGATTTATGTTATCTGCATGTACTTCGTGCTGTCCTGGAAGTAGTCCTAGGATTAGCATATTCTCCTGTCTAAATCGGATTTCACGAGGAAGATTGCATATTACCCCATAAATCACACCCGTGCTATATATTGTTTGATCGAAAGGTTGAAACCAATCGAGGTTAATCATTATTCCTAGATTGGAATCAGCGAGTTCGGGCGTAAAAAATAAGGTATCATCTGACTTGAATGTTTTCCAAACCTCTCCATCATAAATGTCTGCTAATATATCTCCGTTAACATGCTGATTTGCCCATTTTGCTAAATTTTGTTCGAAATTAGGACGTTGATACATAGTAAAAATTTGTGTTTTTAAATCTGGCATAGAGAATACTATGCGAGGACGCTTTATATAACCATTATTTACTGGAATGTTCTTTAGCAATTCCTCTCCGCAAACCTCCCTATACTTTTTCATCGGATGTTTAGGAAACTCAACTCGACTACACTTGAGTCCTGGTAACGCTTCCGTTACTTGTTCATTTTGTCCTAAAATTTCCCCAATTTTATACAGATTGTTACATTTCGGGCACACAGCATATGTTTTTGTTGCCTTGTCAATGCGTAGCAATTTCTTTGCAGAATAGGATGAGGATGGGAAATTAGCAAATCTTTTTGTATCAGCATCTTTCAATACTTGGCTAAAGAATCCAATCAAGGAAGATATGGAAACTTTGGAATGACGGAATCTTGATTGATACTTAAATATCCATATAAGTATCCAAGATTCAGAAAATTCTACATCTGAATCAGCACACATGAAATCTTCATCATCGCCAAAATCCTCTAATTCAGGAGCAGCGAATCATTCATCATCAGAAGTTTCATCATTCAAGTCTTCACTTTGGTCGTCATCAATCGGTGAGCTGAAGCCAGTATCTTCGTTATCAAGTTCATCAATCAATACATCATTAACAGCCGATTCCACTGCTTTAAATTTCTCTTTTCTTTCTCGTTTAGTCGGGATGTGAATTGGTTCTTGCGATTCAGATGTTGATGAACTTGATGAACCCGATGAACTTGAGGATGCGTTTGAAGTTTCATCATCATTATTGTCTATTTGAACTCGCTTTGATACTGATTTACTGACCTTTGTAGATCTTGATGAACGATTCATTTGCTCATATTCAGCCTCGTGTTTTACTTTTGTTCTTTGATCAACTAATTTTCCGTTATATTCATCACAATGATACGAGACTTTTTTTCTGGGTTTGATTGCAGGTTTTGGTGGCATATTATTATCAATTGCAATATATCAGATTATAACTTATTATTCAAGATAGAATCGGTACTCTTTATATCTGAATTGACTCAATAATTTTTCTTAATACTGAAAGTTCTCTGTTACGTTAATCAATCGGTATAAAATTCATATTAATTAAGTAAATTTAGTATAGTATTAGATTAATTATTCCGATTTATTCAAAATTAAGCAAAATTCAGTATAGTATT